TTTCTCATTTTTTTCTTATGGAGAGACTGAGGACCGGAAAAGGTCAGTGTCTTGCACAGTTACGGTGAGCGTGGTGGTGGTAGCAGATATAAGATACAGACTGCCAAGCTCCTGGACCAGCGCTTTGTCCATTATAAGACGTGAAATTTCCTGTAACTTATATGAAGGTGGGATCACCTTTTCGGTACTTTATGAAATATATAATGGCTGTGCTGGTACAGATATGTAAAGACACATAAAAACACTGGGAAGTAATTGTAGAAACGTCTTTCCTTGTGGCAGCTTTGTAAAAGGCAAATTACCAACAGCAATTTATTATGTGCTTGTGATAGAGACTCGTCCTCTTTCCAGGGACTCTGATGTTGGTCACTTGGCTTGGTGATTTATCTTGCATCGCTCCTACTGTTTTTTATTTAGCTTAGTGTTATTTATCACATCCTTATTTATGTGCTTTTTCTGGTATTACCATATTGATTTTGAAAATAGATTCTTTCCTACAGTGTTTAAGTTTTTATATTACACTCACCTTTTATTAGTTTTATCAAAAAATGATTTTTATTTTTTTCAAATTAGTACATAGACACAGTTTAAAAAGTCAAATCATTTCAAGCTTAGAAATATGTATTTATCTGCCCTGACTGCTCTACCATACCCCGTGTCCCGCCCCTCCCCTCGAGCAGTCATCCGCAGCTCCTTGGCGGTGTGTTGCTGTGAAGCTCCCTGTGTCTAAATAGCTTGCTTATGTGGGCGCTCTTCTTCAGTTTTATTTACTGGATTACATTGCTGCTGTAAGAGATGTGGATTTAAATTTCTCTTATTCTCTCATTTCTCACCTCTCAGTATAGTTGGATAATAGTATTCTATGCTTATATCATTATGGCTACCTGCATGTTATTTACGCCTGACTCATATAAAGTGTTATGGTTATAATTTCTTTTTTCAAATAATTTTTCCATTGCTCTTAGGAGTAAATGGAAGTAAATGAAAAATGTGTTTTTTGTTTTATGAAAACTTGTTGCTGGCTTTTTTATACACATGTACAGGAAGTGGGTAGTTTGGTCATTTTTCATAAAGTGAATATATCAGCAACCACACAGATCAGGAAATACTTAACTTTTAAATTTTTCTTCAAAGTATTAATTACCTAAGTTTTTCATTTGCTTAATTTTGTATCTGTTTATCACTAAATCATTCTAAAACCAACCAAATACAAAATGTCTTCTTGATATATTTAAACATAGCTGATATTTGTAAAATTTCGTTTTATCATGTCATCTTTTGACGCATCTTTCCTGGAATGCTTGCGTGTGACCTGATGGTGTTCAGAGCCTCCCTCCCCCTTTGTAGTATCTCTTTCTGATACCTGGCTCCTCATCATTTTTGGTTCGTGCCCTTTATTTAGGACTATACCGTAGCTTCTTTTCAAGGCATAAATATTACAACCTGCATTTCTGAAATGTTTTAGTCTTTATACCTGACCAGTCTGTTTTCTGTGGTATAATTCTCACTTGGAAAGTACATTCTCATAAAAGTTTGAATTTTTACTATGTTGTCTTTGCCGCCCTTTCTCTGTTGCTCTTGAGCAGCCTGCCGTCTGCTCCCCTATGTTTTGTGTAAGATCTGTTTTTGTATTCCCTTGTCATGAAACTCTTGGCCTTTCCTCTTTATTCCTGGTGTTCTGAAATTTCACAGCAGTATGACCTGGGATACATCTTCCTTTTTCTTTTCTTTTTTTAAAAATTTTGCTTAATATTTATTGGGTCTTTTTAATCTGCAAACATATATTTTACATTTTTTTCAGTTTTGCTTTTTCAGTATATTTTAGTTTTCATTCCTACTCTTCATTTTTGCTGAGTGTATTCCCTTTTCATATCTGCTACCTGAAAGGTTCCCTTTCTTTAAAGTTTTATGAAATAGGGTGAACATTTGTCTTTTTTTTTTTTAACTTAAGATTATATCCAAGGAAATATGTCTATATCTATACATCTTGATTAAGTCATAGTTGATGATCTTTGTAGAGGTCACATAATTTAGAAAGTTCCTGCGATGTAGAAACAGACTTAATGTAGGTATTCATGTGCACCTACATGCTGTATTTAAATTGCATTTTCTAAGATTTTTAGAGTCATAACTATACACATAATTATTTCTAGTTGAATTGATCTTATGTCTTCAATTAAATTAGAACATTAGGCAAAGTGAACCATTCAAGCATATTAAAATTTAAAAGTTGGAAGAGACATTAGAGTTCATATAGGCATAAATATGAAGCTTATATTTGTGAAATCATTTAATTCCCTAGGTGAAATTGGTGAGGTCACTATTTTATGCAATCTTTCCCATAGTTTAAATTTCTTTTTTTTTTGGTACTGGGAATCAAACTCAGGACCTTGCTCTTGCCATGCAGGTGCTGTGCTGCTGAGCTGTGGCTCTATATTTTAAGTTTATTTTCTTAAGGTTGGAAGTATTCTGTCTGAATATGAATCATCTTTCAGCAAATTAGCTTACTAATGGCTATACAGTCTTGAATTCTACTAGGTTATATATTTGAGGATTATATTTTTGAGCTTAAAATAATATTTAAAAAAATAAATGGCAGTAATTGGGACGTACAGCAGTCAACGTGGACACTTTGTTCTAGGAAGTACAAAAGTAAACTTGTATGACTCTAAAACTTTCTTCACCCTGTTACAGATGGTTTAAATTCCTAGGTACAGAAACAAATAAAAATTACCTAGTGCTTTAAGAACTGTGCTATGGAATGTACACAACGTGCTTACAGATTTTTTAAGTGTTTCTTTCTACACTCACTGTATTGCTTAAATAAATTATTTCAAAAACTATAGCCAGTTTTAAATCAAACATGAAATACTCTCTTGCATGTGAAGACAGCTTGTAACATTTCTCCAGTTCAGGGTTAAAACAGTAGATCTTATGGAAATACCAACTTCTTTGGCAACTTAAATGAGAGCAAAATAGTGATTTCTAAAAATGGACTAAAGATTATTGCAGATTACCTATGTCATCTAAGTTTTCATTACTTGACTGTTCTTATATAATCTTTAAGTGCTTTTTTTTCTATTTTTAGTGTAAATTGTTATATTAATTTGCTTAATTTAATAATAGTAAAATAATTTTTATTATGACTCATGTACCTTTTAAACTTTCAATTATCTAATTCAGGTAACTTGTACATAAATTATTATATTAAATTTAAAAGTGGGTAGCCTTAAAGATAGCATATTCTAGGTGTTATGTGGCCAACTTTCAAGTCTGCCCTCAAAATATGTGGACAAGTCACTATTAGTTGTATTTCAAATCCTAATACTTTCAGAATGAAAACGTTGAAAAGGGGACTTAGTACTTTGATAATTCGTGTTAGTCATTTTACAGTAAGATTATTTTCTAATTTCTTCAAATTAGTTTTAGACGATTCTGGGAAACAACAATGGAAATCAGTTAAAACTGTATGCAATTATCTCAACTTTAAAGATTTTACAAATATGTGCATTTTAGGCATAACCTGACTTCCTTATATTTCCAAAATGATCAGTCATATTTAAAATAATTTAAAAAATTATTTCTTCTAAAATTCGGTCCAGTTTTTCAGTAGTATGTATGTATGAGCAGAGCAGCCACCTGTGGCCCTGTCCAAGTCTGAGCAAAACAGGTACATTTGTCTGTTGAGTTACATTTAAATGCTGCGATACAAGCGAATTTTGTCTGTGGGTGTCTCACATTAAGAAGTAGAAAAAGAGAGTTAGTTTACCTTTCTGTCTTGTTCCTTCTGTTGTTTTTCCACTGCAGTGCTGGAGTCCCCCTGCCTCAGAGAGAAACTCTGAGTATCATCTACTGTACTGTTTGATCAAATTATGTAAATCTCTCTCTTACAGGTCACGGGCTAATTTCTGTGTGGTTCTCATGTAGTTAATTGAAAGCCAAACAATAAAGTCAAACAAGTTGGAGATAAAGTTGTGCTTTTGCTGTTAATATCAAATGAGAAGAACAGATTGCTTACTTCACACCTGGAGAATCTGGTTCTGCCAGTTAAACCCCTGTTCTTTAGATTAAAGGACAATTTTCATTGGAGCTAGTTCAGTAACAGGAAGTCCTTGTAAAACTGCCCACATAAGGTATTTTGCACATACAAATATAAATCCAGCCCTGTAGTAACTCTTGAAATAATCCGAAAGAAGCTTGAATTTAAATGAAGCTTACTTTCTTTTCTTTAGATGTCAAAACCTGCTGAAAATAACAGAGCAGGAATAAATTGTAATGGAAAGAAGCTTGGTGTGAAGACTTTTACTCAGTTTACTTTAAGATGATTGAATTTTATCCTATTGTAGGAAATCCCCCAAGGACCTAGCTCTTGAGAATAATAGAATTTCAGAAGTAGAACAGTCAGAAAAACAGCTCATGTCTTTAGCCTTCCACCCTACTTTTCTTTCTAATATACTGCTATTCTTATTTTAAAAGGAGTTTCATATGTAGTTGTTTATGTAGAATAAATAAAGTTCTATAGCAGTGTTAAGCTGTATACTATACCATTATAATAATTCAAAAATGGTTTTTTCCAGGAGGAAGTATTTACAGGAAAGTTACATATGAAAATTTCTCTCATACCACTAAGTTTCTAAAAACCTTTCCGTTTTTTCTAGCTAGATTATTGTTTGAGGGTAGGAGGAAGAGCATTGTTATAATGGACAGCAGAATAACATTTGAAATTACACTTTGATTTAGAAGCTTGTGGAATCTGTTCCCCAAGTAAGAAGTGATTCCACGGCACTCTTCAGTAAAAAAAAACGGTAGAAACACCAAAGTCTTTCAGTGTAGAAGTGGCTCAATAAATGAGAGAATAGTAGCTATACAGTAGAACATTTTGCAGTTGTACAGCATAATGAAGATTTATTTGTCCTGTTTCACAGTTTATTCTTCTATTAAAAAATGCATGCTGCAAAAGAAGAGATGGTATACTAGCTGTTCTACATACAGGTACATACCCGGTGAAATCTGTAGTATCCAAATTGAGGTTTTCCTCATGTGGAAGTGCTACTTCTCCCATACACTTACTCCAAACACTCTCTCTCCCACATACTTGTTAATGTTTTCTAAAAGAAAAGAGTATGAAGATGAAATAAAAGCTAGTAAAAATAATTACTTGCAGATGAGAAAGAATAGAGAGAGGAAAAGGGATAGAGATGGGCATTGCTTCTTTCCCATTGTACCTTGTTTTTATAGTTTTGAATTTGGAACCGTATAAATGTTTTAAAAGTTCAATCTGAAAATACAAACTATCTTTTGAAAAAGCAAAAGCACCCCTAGACAAATGAACCTAGCCTAATATGCAGGTGTGGCCTAACTACATAGAGAAGGGGTATAGCAAGCTAGTGTGTGTGTGTGTGTGTGTGTGTGTGTATGTGTGTGTGTTTTGCTGGGGATTGAACCTAGGGTCTTGTGCATACTAAGCAGGCACCCTACTACTGAGCTACACTGCAACCCCCAGGTAACTTTAAATCTCAGTATTTAGTACATCTCTAATGGGATATATCTTTGGAAAATAACCATGAGCAGATCTTACCTCCACTTAATGTTATATTTTAGTCATGATAGCGCTATCATTCAGTTGAAGCGTATCTATAAGAGGACAGAGTAGTTGGTTAATCTCAGTGTTATTAAAACTATACTTGTCAGCATATGTAAAGAGAGATACAAGGGAAGCCTAAGAAGGTAAGTAGAAACTTGGTAATATTTGATTTGAAATAAGAAAAGTCAGTGTGGACACATGAGGTAAATGCTGTGGGAGGAAAAGAGATGTTGTTGGAGTTGGGAGAGGGCCGTTATTACAGACTTTAAAAGATCCAGGAGTGATACATTGCAATGTGTGTTTGGCTTACATCTGATTATGAACATAATACTTGTAAAATGATACTGAAAAAATGATATTGAGGGATGTTAAGTACATTGAATAATACTAAAGGCTTTTTGTTAATTTTCTTAGGTGTGATAATGTGGACATGTTTTTGTAATTTTTAAATTTTTTGGTGAAGTAATATAGCCAAAGGTGAATAGATCAGCAAGAACCACACAGTATTGTTAATATTTAAAAGCATGGGACAGTGGTTCATTAGATTTATTACTCTGTGTATTTATCGAAAACTATATTTTTTCCCAAAACTCTGACAAACCCTGACCAAGGACTACAGTTATCATACAGTATCAAAAGGGATTGGTTCCAGGACACTTCATAAATACCAATATCCAGAGATGTTCAAGTTCTTCATGTAAAATGAGATTTCTGCATAACTTATGCATATCTGTATGCTTTACCTTTAGATTGCTTATAATAGTTAAAACTGTAAATATTATGCAGATAGTTGTTGTACAGTTCTATATTATTTAAGGAACAATGACAAGGAAAGTCTGTACACAATCAGTACAGTGATTTTTTTTCCCTAACACTCCTGTCTGAGGTTGGTTGAATTCATGAATGCAGAGTCCATGAATACACATGGTCAACTATTATTTTGTTAAACTTTTTGACCTCTGCCATCTAATATGCAATTCCTCAATTCCTCTTATCTCTAGAAGTTACCTGGTGTTTCATTTGATTCCCCAGTTTGCATCTACATGAGTGTGTATTTGTGAACTGCACATAGTGTGTGTTTATTAGTGTAGTTCTGTGCCAAGTACATTAGAAGTAGTCCCAGACCTTCAGTGAATTGTACATAAGCCAGGGATGAAGCTCAGTGGCACAGCGCCTGCCTGGCAAGCGTGAAGTCCTGAGTTTGATCCCCAGTTCCAAAAAAAGTAAATTGCACATTTACATGGACACATTCACACACTAGAAATGGAGATGAGCCCAAATATAGAGTGAATAATTGACATTTAAAAGTCACTTTTTCCCCTGTTTCTTCTTTTGGGGCGATTGGTCTGTTTGTTCTTTCTTGACTCTTCTTGATTTTGCTTTTAAGGCCACCTTTTATGCACTTTATTTAATAATAATAACTAACAAACAATGATGAGATAACACTACAATACTTTCTAAATCTAGTTCTCTAAACAGCAGATTTAAAACTATTTTTTGGAGGGGTCTTTTTGAGATAGGGTCTCGCTCTGCAGTTCAGGCTGGCCTTGAGCTCACTTGTAGCCCAGGCCAGTCTCAAACTTGCAGCGATCCTCCTGCCTCAGCCTCCCAAGTGCTGGGATTACAGGCCAGATTTAAAAACTAGTGCATGAACAACACGGTCACAACTAATAGGAAACAGAGAGACAGACCTTTTACAAGAGGGAAGGGACCAAGACATGGAGAGAGGGGAGAAGGTGGGTAGAAGAGGAAATAAAAAGAATTAAGCCATGTTGTTCACAAGGGCACAAAGTGAGTGTTTTCCTTTTTCTTTCTGAACAGGATACTAAGGATGGTATCCAGGGCCTTGTCCACGCTAGACAAGTGCTGAGCTATAGCTCTAGCCCCATCCCATGATTAATGAAACCATTAATTAAAAGGTATTTTTAAGATGTGAGCTGATTCTTATAATAAAACCACTTTTTTGTTCTTGTAGGTTGGCAAATAAACAGGACAAGGAAGGGGCTTTGGGAGAAGCTGATGTGATTGAATGTCTGTCTTTGGAAAAATTGGTCAATGAGCACAAGTGCCTGTGTCAGATAGTAAGTGTTGTTTTCTTCGCTGCTTCTTACAGATACGTTTAGTGTAACTTAGTTTTTATGAAGGTGCTCAGCAGTTTTAAAGAGCGATCTTTTCACATAGGAAATCATGCTGTCACTATTCTATTGCTATTCTATTGTAATAAGTGCTTTCTATTTAGTTGTCACTGACTTCTGTAAGCTATCCTTTCAGAGTTTTTACATTGCTTTTTGTAAACTACATATATCAAAGTGTTATGAATTTTTTAAATAGTGAAGAAAAAGTATAAATGTAAGGCTTACATTCAGAAATTCATATTGAATTTTGAAAAATTATATCAGAAAAATTGTCATATAATCTTAAAATGGATATATTACTCTAGTTTCATAAAATTATTATTAGGCTGAGAATTTTGTGGACTTTTACCACTATAAATTCATTGGTTAAGAAATTAAAACTGACTAATATTCATAATGAGTAGATGTATTTTTCTCATGGCAGGTCTACTTTGTCTTCCAGTAAAATGGTTTAAAATTGTAACTGATAGCTGTGAGCTTCCTATGGTAATAGTGAGTCTTGTAGCTTATAGATACTAAATGTAAAATTATTGATTTCTGTGTAGTGAGACATGTTTTATAAATTAAGTAAGCAGATGCTTCATAGGAATATTTAAAATGGTTTGCCTTTGATTTGCGGGTTAAGTACACTGGGTGCTTTATGAGTGTAGATTTGTGTGGAGACCCTTTAGTTTTAACAACTTTGAATCAAAGAACGCCTGTTGTAGGAACCTTGTTCGGCAGTCTTGGGGTATGGAAAGAAGATTGACAAGTCTATTAAAAAGGGCCTTTATTGGCTGCTACATATCATCGCCAGAGACTTTGAGACCTTGAATGAAAGGATCCAGAAGGACACAAGGGAACAGCGAGCGCTGGAGGAACAGGAGAAGCGAGAAAGAGCTGAGCGAGTGCGAAAACTGCGAGAAGAAAGGTAAGTAGCCTGATTCTGCCGCAGTGCCTTTGAAGCGTAAGAACACATGGCGGGTCTGTGAGTAGTTTGCTTCTTTGTTCAGGCTGCCTGTCCTGTTCAATTTTGTCTCCTTCTGTATGAAGGAGGGTACTAAATAAATTATACAAGTGCAGGGGATAGGTTTTAACTTTCCTGGTTATACTAGGTAAATGTACTCCTTATGTAGTCATTATTCCCCAGAGTTTCAAGGTTTTATCTCTTTATCTTAGGAGTACTTCTAGAGCAGTGGTTCTCAGCGTCCAGTGAGATTGCGGCCTTTCAGGGAACGTGTGGGAACGATGTTGGACTGTCACAGCTGGGAGGAGGGGCGGTAGTACTCCACCTGTTGTGCAGAGGGCAGGGACGTTGCCACACATTTTGCAGTGTGTGGGACGGGCTCCCCCAGCAAGGAATTACAAGGTGCAACATTACAAACGATGGAGACTCAGAAACCTTCCTTTAGACTCAGCAAAGATAGAGGTGAGATGTTAAAGGTAAACTAGCCAAGACAAATCTGATCCTCAGTACTGTTTTGTTAGACAGTAGACCAAATTATACCACTTTAAGTTCCTAAAATACATATTTTAAGTGATTATTAAAATATGCTGTGAGAAAGAAAATATTTGATTAAATTCACCAAACTATACTTTTGAAGAAGATACTTCAGAATCATTTATAATTTAATACTGTAAGAAAGGGCTAAGGTTTAAATATAAGTTGAACTTAATGTGGAAGAGGGAGGAAAAGGAGGAGAAATGAGAAAGGTTTTTAAGTGAGTTCCTGTAAGATCCAGAGTTGCCTTCCATCAACCTAAGCGTATTGGCTTTTCATATCGGTTAATATAGCAGCAGCCCCATAACCAGAAGCTCCCTCCTCCGGAGCTTTGTGAGGCGCCCCCTTACATTGTGCAGGAGGTCCTCTGAAAGTGTTCTTTTAGTTGAGAGAATGCCCTCGGAGAAAGAAGCATTTGTAAAAATACTGTCTTCCACTCTCCTGAAGCGCTGTGTAAGGTGAGCATGTCATTCATCTAGGTCTTTATCATACCACAGAAAGAAGAGGCTGAGTGATCTTGGGGCCGCTGCCAGGATGTGGTTTTAGTTACTGTGAGAATCTTTGGTTTTATGTCCCAATGTATATTTTCATGATGTAAAGCTCATTAGAAGCAGTCATATTTGTAAGAATGCTTATATATAAAAATAATGTATAGGGCCACTGTTTTCTGAAGACCCCTTTTTTGGTGTGGTTTTGTTTTTTTTATTTTTGGTTTTGTCTTTTTGAGATAGTCTTACTATGCAGTCCAGGCCTTGAGCTTGCTTTGTAGCCCAGACTGGCCTCACAACAATCCTCCTGCCTCCACCTTCTGAGTGCTGGGATTGCAGGTGTGAGCCACCATGCGTGACTTTTTTTTTTTTTTTCTGTCTTTTTGAGACAGGGTCTCACTCTGCAGTTCAGGCTGACCTTGCACTCACTTTGTAGCCCAGGCTGGTCTTGAACTCTTAACCATCCTCCTGCCTCAGCCTCCCAAGTACTGGGATTACAGGTGATGCCACCACACCCGGCTTCTGAAAAGCCTTTCACCTTTCCTCCATAAAGAAAACAAAAACATGGGCCGTGCATATATCAGTGTGGGAAATGTGACCAGCATGTGTGAGGCAGGGGGAAGGGAGAGGGAGGGCGGAGAGAGAGAAAAATCAAGTGGAATACAGGAAATTTAATGTGAGTCGTTTTAAGAAAGCTTTTACCTATGCTGCATTATTGTGGGTGTTTCTAGTACTCATTCTCCTTTCCTCATTTGTCCTTAGCCTTGGCAGCTGTGGGTTGAGACTGCTGCTCTTTAGCTGAGGCTCTGTAATTAAAAATAAATTGGTGCTTAGAGAGGACGGATTATAGAGATTAGAAAATAATCTTTTTACTTTACTAAATTCAATCTATTTTGTCCTTATAGTCATTTTTATTTTTTTTTTTGAAAAACAGTAAAAACAATTTTGGTATCACAATAGTGATTGGTATCAAAATAGTGATTGGTATCAAAATAGTGATAGCAAAGTTTTGGTATCAAATAACATACAGTATTGATACTGTATACCTGCAGTTGTCATTAATGAATAACATAACAGCGACTATTCTGTTTTGTTTATTTATGAGTCCCCTCACTTATTTTGCTTTATTTGATCTTTGAAACAGCTCAGTGAAGTATTTTTTCCATATGTATGTGGAAGCCTGAGCTTAATGATCTAGCTCAAGGTCATAGGAGTAGTAAATTGTAAGTCTCTAAACCTTGCCTTTCCAGATTCAGAATGAAAGGATATGTATTTCTGATCTAGCTGTTCATCCCTAATTCTCATTTTTCTGTCTCTGGCTGCTTTTTTTTTTTTTTGGCTCTTTGAGACAGGGTCTTGCTATGCAGTTCAGGCAGGCCTTAAGCTTACTTTGTAGCCAGGCTGGCCTCGAACTTGCAACAATCCTCCTGCCTCAGAGTTGGCATTACAGGCATGCGCCACCACACCCGGCAGCTGCTTGTTTTAGTAACTTACTCTTCATGTATTAGGCAACATTAACTATAAATCACAGAAATCTTAAATGATTCATTAGTAACTGTTATGGGAATATTTAATCTGAATGATACAGGGCAACTTATTTTTACAACTTTTCATACTCTTAAACTAAGCAACAGGTTTTACCTAGCTATTCCAATATGATACACAACTGGATGAAATATATCACTCTATAGTATTACCTTATCATATACTGCTGTAGAATAAACATATAGATGTCCCACTGTTTTCTTTGTACTGTAAATGAGAAACATGTTTGTGTATAAATAAAAACACAGGTTGAGTTAAAGGAATATGTCCAAGTTGTATTAACAATAGAAGACTTTTCTTTTAGTGCTGGTAAAAAGAATAGCTTTGATTCTGGAGGGTAATTAATAATTTGGCAACTACATATGTTTGAGAACTAATCTGTACTATTAACATTAAGGAGTTACTAGCTGGGTGTTGTGGTGGTACATGGCTGTAATCTCAGCATCCTGGTGGCTGAGGCAGGAGGATTGCTATAGATTCAGGGCCAGCCTGGGCTGCATAGTGAGTTCAATACCAGCCAGTAAAGGATAAAATTAGAGAGCTGTTTTTTTTATATATATGATTAGTTTAAATGAATGTTAGAAGTAGGTGGAGCAATTAAAAAAAAAAAAGACGAACCCGTATTATGCAGGCAGACCTTGTCTCCAGGAAACAAAACAACGAAGTCACTGTTATGAATTGTTAGAATTTTTTCTTTTTAATTCAGATAACTAATTATTTTTTTGTTTCTGTTGTTGTTTTGTTTTTTGAGAGAAGGTCTTACGATGTAGTTCAGGCTGGCCTTGAACTCACAATGTACCCTGGCTGTCTTTGAACTCATGGTGATCCTTCTGCCTCAGTCTCCAGAGTACTGGGATTACAGGCATGTGCTGCCATGCACAGTTTCAAATAAGTGATGTTTAAAGAGGATAGAGGCCTGTTAGTTGAATAAGTATTTTACAAATCCCCTCAATAATTAAAAGCTATGACAAGATGTTTATATCACTAAGACTAAATACCCTTAAACCTACTGCAGACTGGTTCATTAAGCATAATTCAGCACTTTTTACACAGAAATTTCCATTTCCCCCCTCAAATAATAGAGAACAAAGAGAAGGAGAGCAAGCGGAGCTGGATGGAAGCAGCGGGGCTGATGACTTGGGCCCGAGACCAGTTCCTGTGAACCCTTTCCAGCCCATCGCGTCTGTCATAATGGAGGTGCGAGTGGGTGGCAAGTGTGATTGTTTATTTATTACACTGTGATGCTGATGCTGGGGAGGAGGGGAAAGGAGGACGGCCGGACAAGGTGTGTGAGCCAGCTCTCCTTCACGGTGACAGACACCTGCGGTGTCACCCTGAAGGAGGAGCGGTGCGCTTGGCTCCTGGCTGCAGTCCGTGGGTGCAGACTGCACTGCCTGCGTCTCTGGCACAGCAGAGTATGTTGGGGCATCGGGGAGCAGAGCTGCGCGCCTCAAGGGGGCCATGAAGCGGAGGGCTAGCCTGGACCAAGGAGGAAGCGGCTGGGGCAAAGCACACCCTCGGAGCCCTCCGCCCCGCCGCCGACAGTCCCTCCCTCCGTGCGCGTGGCCTCGTCGCCCGAGGCCGGCGGAGCTGGGACCTTGTCGGTGGATTAGTGCGCTGGGTGCAGCTGGAGCCCCACGACCCTGTCCCCGCCAGAGCCCGCCAGCTGGAGCGGGCTGTAACACAGGAACTGGAATAATTTCTCTAAATAATGAAAGGTGTGAGCAATTGAGTGTTTCTTCCTTTATTTTCTCTTCAAAAGGTGCATGCAAAATATAAAAAATGAGAGCTAATTTTAGATTATATTGACAGTGTTAGAAAAAGGAAATTAGACTTCGAAATAAATTAGAATGTAGATAAACGTTGAATGCTGTTACAGTTATGTCAGTGACTGTTGCAGTAACTCCCTTGTCATTTGTTCACAGAGCAGTAATATATCCATTTACTTACACTGTCTGTGTCCCAGGATTGCTGCTGCTGTGCCTTGGAACAATGTCTAGGCGCTTGTGTAGAGCACAGAAACAGTTTAGTTTTCCAAGGGTGCTTAAGAATGGTCTAAGCTGCAGTACATTTTCTTGTGTCTGAATACAGGAAATTTATTTTAATTTTGATCACTGCAAGTTTTAGCAAGATTAATTTGTGGATTTTAATTATGAAGAAGTTAAGGAGCTGCTCGCGCGTGTCGTTCTTTTCCTCTTCTGCTGGTGCCCGGGCTCGTCTTGGCTGTGCTTCGTCCCTGCTCAGCAGCCGAACCCTCTGGCGGCGGGGCTTCCCAGGTCTCTCCCACTGACCCAGACCGTGCCTGGCTCTCGGGCCTGCTGCGTTCCCACTCCTTTTCCCGCCGCTGCCTCTCTCGCTGCTCTGGGAAGGTGAATGCTGGTTTCTTCCTCAGTGCTGCTGCTGAGGGAGGCACCTCTGGGTAAAAAAATCATAATTTCGATTCTGCTTTATTCTGCAAAATAATTGGTAATATGGAATATTTGGTCTTAAATTGCACAACTATCTGAAGATTAAGTAAATCTTTTCTTAATCCTATTGCATTTCCTCTGAATGTGCTTTTCTAAGTAAAAGTATCTTAATAGTATGAATTATTGTCTCCACACTATCAAACATTGTTTGTCAAGTTTTGTTTTACTTTTTTTTCTTGTCTTTTTGAGACAGGGTTTCACTATGCAGTCCAGGCTGGCCTTGAGCTCACTTTGTAGCCCAGGCTGGTCTCAAACTTGCAACGATTCTCCTGCTCAGCTGGGATTACAGATGTGCGCCACCATGCCCAGCTTTGTTTTACATTAAAAAAATACTGATACGTTGTTCTATCCAGGGTGACAGGTCCTGAGAATGAGGTGCCCACGGATGATAAGAAAGAGACAAGGAAAACAAGAGAGGCAAAAGTCTAGGATCAGGGGGTTTACAGCATCTCGGACTGCAGCCCCAGTTACCAATCTCAGTCACCTTTTATTGAGCAACAACCAAGGGTGTAGCTAGTACAAATGGGCGGATACCAAAGCACTATCCTTCTCCAGGTCTGCCTCTTACGATGCTGGCAACAATCCCCAGGTGGGCCTCCCACACCCAGCACCATGCTCACTCAGTTCAGCTGGGGGTTATAAGTTGACCACTAGTTGTCAATCCACTACAATCACATCCTTACTTCCCATTAATTTTTACAATGCATGGCAAGACTGAAAAATAGGGACCACCTGCAATTCAAATACACTCTTATCTTCAGGTGAAAGGTTTCAGTTCGTTTTTGCAACAATAAACAAATCATTGTGTGTCCTCAGTGCTTTCTAATCAAAGAATGACCTTCTCCACACTGATAGAGAAAGAAATCAAAATTTATTGTTCCAGGGCCAGGGATGTAGCTCAACAGCACAGTGCCTGCCTGGCAAGCGCGAGGTCATGAGTTTGATTCCCAGTACCACCAAAACAAAAAAAAAAAATACTTCAAAACATTGATTACTCTGTGTGTAAGAAAGCTTAATTGGTAAATAAAACTTTATAGTACTACCATGTATAAAACTTACTTAGAAAGCCCTAGCGCTTTTCACAGCATCGTATTTTTCACAGTGTAAGGAAGAAAACAATATTGGTATAGAACACCATATGTAGAAGGTCTATAAATCAGGGTTATGGGGAGAGTGCAATTGTTACTCTTTGAAATTATGATAATTTTAAGATGGTAAATAAGTAATGAAAACAAATTATCTGTAATCTCTTATGTGCAAATACCTTTTTTCACAAAATTTCTTTACTGTGTTTGGTTGTTTACAATGCCTATTACTCATTTGATTTTTACCATAGCTATTAGAAATAGTAAAGTATTATGAAGTATTGGTTCTAGAATAGGTAGATCCATCAATGGAGCAAATAGAATAAACCTAATCATATATGATCATTCAGTATAACATAAAGGTAACATTTCACATTGAGAGAAAAACATTGGAACTGAACAACCATTTGCAAAAATATAAAATTATTGTGCATTGCATAGCAAATGAAACTCCAGAAGTATCAAAGACTTAAATATATATATTTGAAAACTTTAAAATACTAGTAGATAATGTACATATTAACATGCTGAGAGGATGAAAACTTTCAAAGATAAACCACAAATTATAAAGTGGAAAATGGATAGTGCATATTATATTTAATTTCTAAAGTGCTGTTTTACAATGTTAAAAAGCAAACATTAAAACAAAGCAGACCCTCCTGAAGAGTAAAGCACATAGGACGCGCGGCCCGGTATGACGGTGTGGTTAGTCCTCGCGGTAGGTGCGGCAGTGGTGAGAACAGAGGCCGCCCACAGAGTACTGTGGGAGTGACAGGAGTGCGTGCTGCTGCGCACGGGCAGTGTGCCGCGGGAACAGCAGTGGGGTGTTTGACGATTCCTCTTCCCTTGTTGTAACATTTTTTAATTAAACTAAAACAACACTAAGGTAAATATTCGTTAGTTTACCAGATATATGAAAAGTTAATAATGATGTGCAGCATTGAAAGTGATGTAAGAAATACAATTCTCCCATCCTTTTGTCTGGGGTATGCATTGGCTCAATTTTTTTGAGGAGAAATGTGTGATAATATGTCACATTTTAAAATGTACTAACCCCAACGATTCAACATTTGTACTTGGGAATTTAATTTAAAAAATTTAAGACAACAGTTTATTTCTTACAATACCGGGGAAATTAGAAATTAGAATTCCTTGTTTATTTTGTAGAGGAATTAGTATAAGAGATAACCATTTCAAATGTTTATATAATTGTTGAAAAATAACAGAAGCTAACATTTATTTTCTGTGTGTGAGAAACTGTTTTAAGTACTTCATATATTCCTTGCTGTAGAAAGAAACACCTTTTTTTTGTCTTTTTGAGACAGGGTTTCACTATGCAGTTTAGATTCATCTAGAACTCAGTTTGTATCCCAGGCTGGCCTCAAACTCATGGCAGTCCTCCTGCCTCAGCCTCCCGAGTGCTGGGATTACAGGCATACGCCACCACAGCGGGCTAGAAACACTATTCTTAAAAACTTTAATATTTTTTTGTTTAAATAAATATGTATATGGAGACAGTCACACACGTATGTTTACGGGTGGTGTATATGTGTGAGTGTGGATAGGCAGAGAAAAACCCCAGATAATAATTATACACTGAATAGTGGTCATCTCTAGGTTGTGAAATTACTGGTGATACTTATTTTCTTTCCTTATACTTTTTGTGTTTACTGAATATTTAATAGCATGTTTTAATGATAAATTTCAACAAATAATTTTAACATTTGAACACAGAATGTCTGACATTACAAATATTCTTTTTTGTTCATTTGTTTTAGAGACAGGGTCTCACTATGTAGTCTAGGCTGGCCTTAAATTCACTTTGTAGCCCAGGCTGGCCTCAAACTCATGACGATCCATTTGTCTCAGCTTCCTGAATGCTGGGATTACAGGAGTGCGCCACCACACCTGGCTATAACATTATAAACGTTTTTGAAGTGGTATTAGGTTAAATGATGTTAAGTTGATGTTAGAGGTTAGACATAACCACTGTACATTATGATAAAGATGCTATATTTCATTTCTGTTAGAATGAAAAGAAACTTGAAAAAGAGAAAAAGAAACAAACGACGGAAAAAGACAGTGACATTTGTCCCTTGCAACAGAAAACGGAACATGAACAAACAGAAACACAGAGCCAGGCTAGTGACAATAGCCAAAGAAACAATGAATTTGAAGTAGTAGAAAATTATAAGGAGGCCTTAACACAGCAGTTGGAGGATGAAGATGAGACAGATCAGCGATCTTCAGAATCAGGTGAAAATGTGTATATGGCTTGTAAATATGGCTTATGTCACTTATCGTGTTTATTTTCACAAAAAAACCTGTAATTTTTTTGTCTTCAAATGCAGTATTTATCTTGATTTTTTTTTTTTTGCCCATTAGCCAATTTTCTCTAAATGCATTTTTGCATTTTGGCTTAACATGTGGTTCTTTACAATTTAAAAGAACTCAAGCCAGGCGTGATGGCACGTGCCTGTCCTCCCAGCACTTGAGAGGCTGAGGCAGGAGGATCTTTGTGAGTTTGAGACCAGCCTGGGCTACAGAGGGAGCTCAAGGCCAGCCTGAACTGCATAGTGAGACCCTATCTCAAAAAGACCAAAAAAAAAAAAAAAGAATTCAGCAGAAATTCAATTTTGAAAAATTCAGAATACAGCCTAATTCCTAGGATTTGTTGGAATTTATTTAACATTTTAAGCCTTTGTTGTTATTTGTTTAGCCTTTTCATGCTAAAGTTCACATTGTTTTCTCTGTTTTTATAAGATTGAAACATAAAGCATTTTCAAAACGTTATCGGGGCCATGGTGTAGCTCAGTGGTAGAGCTTATGCTTAGCTGGTACAAGGCTGTGCGTTCATTCCCAAGCACACTCCTGTATGCACACAGACACACATACACACATAAACACACTCCTACCAAATAGCCATTTTCCTTTAATTCTGTACAAGGTTGGTACCTGCCGGTGTGATGTAACAGAACACTCATGTGTGCTGGTGTCGTGGGAGACAACCTATGTTTGGAATCAGAAAACCAGGGGCAAAAACCATTTCCTAGATACACTCTAAGTGCTGTAGCAGCAGTTCCCAGCCTTTTAGCGTTAGCGACCAGTTTTGTGGGAGGCATTTTTTCCACGGACAGGGTGTGTGTGGGGGTTGTGGCTGGAGGGTGGTCTAAGCACATGAGATGTATTGTGCAGCTTTTTTCAGTTCTTACTTTGCAGCATACAGTGAAGTAATTGTACAGCACGCAGTAGTGCAGAGCCAGTGGGAGCCCAGGGCTTGCTTTCCTGTGCCTTGGCCCTCCTGTCTGAGGTGGCGGGAAACACTGACGCCTGAAGTGTGCTGCTTTCTCCCAGTGTGCTCCATAATCCCGTTTTGGCTGCTGGCATCGCAGAAAACCCTCCTTCACGAAGATAGGATGTTGGAAATAGAGGCAGTTTTTCCAGTGTTTCCTGGCATCTCAGGATATGTCACCTTGACTTTAAACCAGAATGTGTGGCGATCTGAGGTTTCTCAAACGTACATCTTGTTTTCAATACTGAGGATGGAACCCAGGGCCTCACACTTGCAAGGCAAGTGCTGTACCCTTGAGCCACACCTCAGACACACTTTTAACGTTCGTCATTTTTCAGTCTAAAGCAATTGACCCCCTCTAGCACAGAGCCACTTCCCCCGGCTAATTCACAGATGGGTCTCAGATGCATTCCCTCTGCGTTCAGGGGTGCTTTGTGGGTAGGAAGTAATATTCAAACTCTGTTGAAAGGCAAGATAAGTGGTTGTATTTGAGCTGGAAAAAAGGCGGCCCAAGCTTAGTCTCATTCAAAAATCTGCTAGTGTATGGGGGATATAGCTCAGTGGCATAAGCACCTGCCTGGCAAGCAGAAGGTCCTGAGTTCGATTCCTGGTACAAAAAAAAATCTGCTGGTGTATAAAACATGTCAGAAATTCTAATGTTAACTCATTGGCTTATAATTCCAGTTTGGCTTTAAATGTAGCCACTTTTTTCTGCCTTTTTGAGACAGGGTTTTAATATGCAGTTCAGGCTGGACTTGAACTCACCATGTAGCCCAGGCTGGCCTCAAATTCAAAGCAGTCCTCCTGCCTCAGCCTCCCAAGTGCTGGGATTATAGGCATGGGCCACCACACCTGGCTTAAATGCGTGCACTTTGTCTGCCAACTTGAATACATTTGACATTCTCCCCTGAGGTCATAGATTTGAGTTTCTGGAGCCGGTTCAGTATGTCACACAAGTAAGCAAGTTTTGTGGCCCATTTTGTGTCACCGAACTGTGCTCCACTGACTACTGTTTTTCTAAAAGATAGCCCTAGTGTGGCTTTCATAACTCAGAAACTCTGGCCAGTTCTCTGCCTTTAGAAAGCAGTCATAGAGAGAAGACGGCGTGCTTTGCGTCCATCTTATTCACAGAGCTTCAGGAATGTGTGCAGCTTTCAGCCAAAGACTTGAGTCCTTTCGCAGCTGTGGTGGTGCTCGGCAGCAGAGTGCAGGCATCTTCATGCTCATCATCCTGAACGTGAACTGCGCAGAAACAAACATTTTCGCCTTATTATCAGCACCAGTAGACTCATCAAGCTGGATTGTCTGCTACAGTGACTCAGTAATTTAGTAGCTGTGCCTCGGTATCCCCTGGTAGTTCATCACATTGTGTGGTTATGGCGCCATCTCTGAACAGCAGCTTGTCCTAAAAGTTTACTGCAATGTCCCTAGCATACAGCAGGATCAGCTCTTCCCAGTACTAAGGGCTTCTTAGTTTCAGCAGTGTGGTTAGCCACTAAGACAGGTGCTCTCTGTGCAGAGACTTTTGATGAAGTCATCACTTTTCAGTGATTGCTTTTTTTCTTCATCTTCTCGGGACTTTTCCTTTGCAGTACTCCAAAGGCCTGTCTTCTAACACCTAGTCTCCATGCGGCAAACAAGTGTTGAAGGTTTCATGGCTTTGTTGGATAATTTGAATCACTGCTTGCATCCCACTTTAAATAGGACCCTTGGTATTTTCTTTTAAATACAGCTTTCTTATTTTTGGCAGCTTTAGGGTCTTCTGCTGTCTCATCATCCCTGGGTCTTTCCCTCTTTTTTTTGAGACAAGGCTTCACTATGCAGTTCAGGCCAGTCTTGAACTCACTGTGTAGCCAGATTGGCCTTGAACTCAGTCTTCCTGCCTCAGCTTCCCAAGTGCTGGGATTACAGGCGTGTGCACCACCCTCCCCCGCCCCCGCCCCCTGCCCATTTTGCCCACTTTTCAAAGAAGCTGTCCAGTTTTGGATAGACCTAGTTTGTGGGCTTAGTGACTGAGACAATATGTAGGTGGGAAAAAGTCCTAAATAGAAGTGGTAAATAAAATAATGGGCGGGCCTTGTGCAGACTAAAATAACTGTCAGATTCTAACTTAAAGTCTACCTTTGAGTCCAGGGTACAACTGAATTACATCAACTTACTAGAAAGCCTGCCGCCATATTCAGTTTAATTGTCACTTGCAACTCATAATAGGGTAATAGGGTTGTGCTGAGTCTGCAGGCAGTCGATTCATTATTGTCTCTGCAGTTAAACCTGTTTTTTAATGTTTATCTGCATTTGCAGCTCCTCCCTAGTGCTAGCATGACCTCCTCAGCTCTCCTTAGATGACCAGGCACAAGATTCTCACAAGGGGGGCACATGGTATGTGCACTTCACAGTAGCTTCGAGCTCAGTGATAGTCTAATGCCACCACTGATGGGATGGAAGGCGGGGCCCGGGTGGTAATGCAAGGGAGGGAGCAGCTGTGGATCCCCAGGACGAGGCTGTGCTCATTAGCCTGCCACTCGCCTCCTGCTGGGCAGCCTGGGTGGACATCCCTGTAACACAGCGTTGTTCAGACTTAGTTTCTTCCTCTGTGAGATGGGGTAAGTATCATCTTTATTCACAGGGCTTTTAAGGTTACTTGTAAAGGAACTACAACATTCCTTCCAGAGAGGCTGGGCCTGATAATTACTTCCATGCCATTCCTAGTTAGTGAAAAGGCTCCATTGTATGTCAGAAATTTTTCAAGTATCCTTGAGCTCATGAAAATACATTCTCCATCTCCGAGTTAGTTGCTGAATGAAAAACAGTTTTTGAGGTTACTGTTTTTGTTAGATAAGTTAGGGCTGCCATTTTAATACCCATACAACTTTCTTTCAGCAGAATTAAAAAGAAGTAGCCGTAAAGATAGTTGTTGTCTTTGATTTGTAAAAAGTCTCTAACCTGACACACTGTTAAAAATAAAGGGGAAAGCAAATGACTTTAAAATATAGCATAAGAAAATCTGAGATAGTAAGTCTTACAACCACAGTGATGGCATTATATTTTATATATTGAAGCATCTCATCAGGTTCATTGTATTATTCAACACAGCATTACAGCATTCAACATAGCCATCCTGGGGCATATAATTTCCATTATATATATGGGAAGCCAGGAACTGAGTGACCCTGAGTAATGTAAGATAGCGTTTCTTTGGGGCTGGGCTGAGAACCAGGTCCGAATCGAATGTTCCGCGATCTGTGCTCTTCGGCCACCCTGAGCTGCTGCCGATCCTGAAGTACGGTGTGGTTTGGAGCTCTCCTTCCATTCTCCCAGCTGGGAGCTACGACACTAGCTGAGAGCATTGCTCTATTTCTACTTAAAAGCGAGGTGTCTCAAATGACACTAACTTGCTCAGAGAAATAATTTGTTTCTCAATATATTTGCATTTTTTACTGCTTCACAGATGTTGACTCTCTTACATTACATGTAACTCCCATTTTAGAAAGTATATTTTCATATATGTGTATATATAATGTATTACATATAAAGTTAGCCATTAGTTTTTTGTTTGTTTTGGTACTGGGAATTGAACTCAGGACCTCGTGCTTGCCAGGCAGGTGCTGTGCCGCTGAGCTATGTCCCTGACCCCGTAAGTTAACCATTAGTCAAATATTTTTACTTAGTAAATTTACTCAAGTTCATATTTGATTAGTGATAGCAATTTCCAGCAAAGATGTTTCTATGGTAATACCAGTATTTTCATGTTGTTCTTTATTTTGTATTTTAGAAGTTCACTTCGCAGAGATACAATGTTTTCTATTATAGACGTTTACTTTTCCCCAATGGTATTGAAGTCTATGTTTATATTATCTTAGATAATAGTAAAAAGAAAACTAAGAAACTAAGAATGAAAAGGAGTCACCGAGTAGAACCAGTTAACACAGACGACTCAACTCCTAAGAGTGCAACGCCGCCCCCACCACCCCCTCCTGGTGAGTAAATCGATACACAAAATTTAGAAATGCTACTTTAAACGATAAAGAGAAAAAGAAAAAGAAATAAATTGTATAGTTTTTATTGTATATTCATTCTCCTCTGAATTTATGAGAATCACTCACTTTTACTGTTTGCGAAATTTGTCAATGTAAGTAACAGTTTTTATAATAAAAATGTAAAATGTTATGGAAACTTACCCAGTAATTTCCAGACTGTGTTCAAGTTCATTTTGAAATATCAAAACCCAGTCTGCTAGCAGGAATTTAAGTTTATTGGATGGACAGCTAATGTTAGTTTTTAAAATTGTGGACCTTTCATCCGGAGAGTCCCCTAGATGTTCAAATTTTCCAAATATAGATCCAACATACATACCCACTTCCTGTTGCATGGATTAAATTGAGTAATGCATGTAAAGGAGTGCATTACTCATAAGGGGTCATAGTTGCACGACAATTGTAACTTTTTGGCATTAAGCAGAGTGTTTCACCACTATCATTAGATAGATACCTGATGACTACATTAATATGTTTTTAGTGTCCTTGTAGCCCAACGACAAGGCTTTAGACAGTAATATTTTCTTTTAGGAATCTTTTAAAGACCTATTTCTAGTATTCCTGTTAAGAAAACTATTTCTTTCAGCCTCTGCTACAGGTTAGAATAGTAATCTAAAGCTTATGTATGATGGTGGTGAAGGGGCTTATATTTTTAGTTAAAAGTGAATAAAAGCTTAAAGTAGATGTTAGCAGCCTGTACAATCCTTACAATTTGAAATAGAAACCATTTAAAATAGATTTGTGGCTGTCCAGTGTTGTATCATTTAGTAAATTTGAATTAACTCTGAATGTTCTGTATACGTCCTGTCAAGGGAGGGGTCCTCTCCATGGTCCTAGAGACATATGTTTAACAGTGTGCCATGTTTTTTCTTTTTCTTCAGTTGGCTGGGGAACCCCCAGAGTCACTAGACTTCCAAAACTTGAGCCTCTTGGTGGAACACGTCATAATGGTAATGCAGAAGGATTTATTTTCAAACACTTTTATTTACTTTGTAACTTAAACAAACTTAATATTTTATTTTTGGAACCCTTTTAAATCCACTGCCATCCTTTTTCATTACATTTTAAAATTTATTTAAAATTTTGTTTGAGTACACTTTGCATCTATATAATTTGATGTTTTTTTTAGGATACAAATGTAAAAGAATCATTCTTGAGCTTATCCATGCTATATTCACGTAAATACATATGAAAAGGGGAAAAGGGGACATGAAATTTAAATAATGAGACACGAAAATTACACCTACAGTTTAAAAAAAAAACCCCTGTAGATCTTGCACATTTACGCGATATACTCTATGATAATACAAATAGTTTTCTCTTCTAGTAAGACAGCTGCTCAATATTAAAATGAAGAAAAGGCCAACAAAATGTGTAAAATCAGAGAATAAATCAGTAAGCCAAATAAAGTTAAGTGGAAAGTTACTGACATCTTCCTGAAATTAAGAAAATAATTTTCCTTGAATGAAATTAACATTAGCTATAATCCAGCCAGTTACTGACATTAGAACCCTAGGAAGCAAAAAGTAGGAACAGGACAGTTGAGAATAATTAAGACACCTTGTGGCTATCGACCATCAGTCTGGGTCTTCACAATGAGATATTTCTACAAGGCCAAAGACTGATTACATACCATTGTAGATTACTCAGTTTGTTTCATCAAAATTTCTAATTCCCTTTTTGATAGTTCTGTGTTAACCTACTCTAAAACCTAAATACCCTAAGGAGAGTACTTAGTAGGAAAAAGGAAATGTAAAATTTAGAAAAGGATTTAGAAAAGGGTTACTACATAATTTGATTTATATCAAACTCTATAAAATATTTTATTAAAAATGATGTAATTATAGATATACTATGTGCTTTTTTCAGAGCACTATAGGTCAATAATGGAATATTTCATTATAATCATTAGTGAAAATTAGATTTTTTACATTTCTAAAGATAGATATTGATCCTTAGACTATATGAACATTATTGATAAGGTATTTCCATTAGAATTATATATTTTTATTTGACTTACTGATTTTTTATTAATCTTTGTTTTTATCAGTACATATTTTCAGACATACTGACCGTATCCATTGTGTGGAATTTGTACCAGTGATAATAGGTCTTGATTCTTTTTTCCTGTTCCCCTCCCCTCTCTGGAACCCGTCTTTTCATATATTATGAATTTAAATATCCATAGTGTTAGAAGCAAGCAGGGTAATGTTAGTGTGTTGATATGTACAATCACATACACATAGGGAAATAATTTTTATATTACACATTTTTTTCTCAGTGACTTTATCATTCAGTAAGTACTTTGTGTTTGCCATCAGCTAACACATTTGTAATAGTAAGATGAATGAGACACATATCCTGCTTTTGTGGAGATCCTCTTCTAACAGAGTACTACTTCGGCTTACTGTCGTGTCAGGGTCAACAGTTCTGTGGTGTAGCATTACTGTGCATAGACTGCATGAGCAGTTAGGGAAGCAGTGTTAGAACTGGGTCTTCAAAGGGTGAGAAGAGTGAGGAGTTGAAAGCAGAGAGGTGGGAAAGAACATTATTTGGAGAATAGCATGTGTGTACAGAGTGGGTGAGAGAAAAATTTTAAATTATAAAGAACATTGCAAGTAGAGTTCTGGCTTTGGGCCAGATTGAAAGTCTCGCATCTTTGTAAAGATGTATGGATTTGCTATAATTTTTAAGAGATAATACTTATTTTTAGTGTGGAAAAAATCATATTAAGTTTGATGCCCAGGAAAATAATTTTTGTCATGTGTAAAATACAGACTTGATGGTGGCTTTCCTGAGGTAAGAATCCAAGTTATAAGGCTGTTGCTGTAATCTAATGACAAATGGAAAGTGGAACAGAGAATAAAAATTACGCAAAGAATATTTTAACAATATATGATGCATGAAGGCTGGAGCTGTCCCTACAACTGGGAATACTTGAGGGGGAAAGGACAGCATTTTACAGGGAGATGCATACAATCTGTGAGGTGTCTGCAGGCTTAGGTGTTTAGAAATGTCTGAAGGGCAGTAGAAGTAAGATTAAGGCACTCAGGAGAAAACTAGGGGCCGGGTCAGGGGCTGGGCAGGATTTGTAGGTAGCACCCCACCCCAGTAGTCATCACACGGTAAGAGTTCTTTGCCTGGAGCAGATACACTTTGTGTTGCTGAATGAATGCAGTTGAAAATATGATCGCTTGCTGTTTATTAGGGAAGAGTACACAAGGAGATGCAGAAAATTCATGGTGACATTCAAGGGGAAAAATTATAATTAACGACAATTTGGAAAGAAAGGAAGAAAACAGACTAAGAAGAGTTTCCCCTAACTGTACTTTTTGGCATTTGTTTTTAAATGAGAACTTGCAGGGGAAGATTTGTAAGAATACATGTAAGTTTAAAGCCACTACATGCTCAACATTTTAATTAATTTTCATAATATCAAATTTTATCTTCTCAGTGCACAATACTATACTTTCACAAATTTTAAAATATCTTTATTAATTTTTTAAAAATTAAGTAAAATTATATTTCATTGGGGTTTAAAATATACAGTCAACTCTAGTAGTTGGAGAAATCAGGTATAATACATTTAAACTGTTAATACAAAAAGTTTACATTAGGTAGTGTTAGTTATTAGGATATGTTCATTAGATATTCTGCTAGGTAGCGAATAATTGCATCCTCTTCTTTTTCTCAGCTTTGAAAAATTAATTAGTTAATTAATTTTTGAGACAGTCTCTCCCTATGTAGTGCAGGCAGGGCTTGAACTCACTTATGTAGCTCAGGCTGACCTCAAACTCATGGTGATCCTTCTGCATCAGCCTCCCAAGTGTTGGGATCACAGGTGTGCGCCACCATGCCAGGCTCTCAGCTTTAGACATACTTACTTGCCTTTATATTTATAAGCATGTTGATGAAAGATTGATGGCAAGTAGGTAACATCCATGATGAACGAGCATTTAATTGAGAACCTACTAGTTTCCCCAGTAAAGTCAACACTGAACCTAACCACTGAATTTGATTTGCTTCTCCTCCATCTGGGTTCATGACCAGGATCCTGGAAAGAAGCAGGTTTGTTAGCTGAGGCACCACTGTGCTTTGGCCATTAAAAATTGCTGAGTTGAAAAAATCTCGCTAAAATCAGATTGAGAATTTTTAAGGCAGATTCTCATACTTTGACTATAGACATTTATTTACCTTGGTAACAATTTCATCTACTTTTCTAATTGCTTTTGTAGACTACAGAATTTGCTCAGTGTAGTAGGCGAGAGGGATGCTTCAGGGAGACTTGAAAAGAGATTCTATATATACTGTGTGCACTCCCAATCTGTACTTTATCAGTATGTTAGGTATTATTATTGTACACTAGAAGAAATTAATCCTGCTAGTTGCAGATAATGAGTATGCAAACTAAAGAATATTTTGAAACTTTAAAATTAGGAAAGAAGATAAAATATTGTGGGTTTTTTGTTTTGTTTTGTCTTTTTGAGAGAGGGTCTCACTACGTAGTTCAGGTTGGTCTTGAACTCACTGTGTAGCCCGGGCTGGCCTTGAACTTGTGGTGATCCTCCAGCCTCAGCCTCCTGAGTGCTAGGATTATAGGTGTGCGCCACCATGTCCGGCTATAATTTTACTGGTTTTACTGGTTTTCAATGTTCAGGTTAAAAAGTTTGAAGTTCTTTATAAAAAAGTGTGCTGGCAATTAAGTTAGTCATTTTAGTTCAGTACCCTCATCAACAATATTTTCTGTGATAGAGGCAATAAGAAGCCTATTTTTTCTAGTATAATTCCATTTTCTGGCAATGAAATAGTACAAAATCTCCTGAAATCAAACTGATTCCTTGGGAGGGACACATTTTTTTACATGGAGTTCATACATCTTTTCACAAAAGTACTTTTAAATTCCAGTAATAAAATCTGGGACAAAACATAGTTACTCTGGCTTAATTATGAGTTCTGTCATATAAAATTCTCACTCATTTTGAACTCAAGAAATTAGAGAATGGATATTTTAAATTTATTAAAATAATTAGGTACCTGTTGTCACTTTAATTATAGCAATATTAATAATTAGATATCTTATAGCTACCACTGTTTAAAATTTTTCAATTCTCCCAGATAACTGTATTAAATGAGCAACAGTATCTATCCACTTTGTTCACGAGGAACCTGTGCTCAAAGTTCATGTAGCTAAGAAGGGGCAGAATTAGGGTTTGAACTTGGTGTGTCCAGCTCAGAAACACACACCTCTAACTCACTATGTTTCACTGTTACATTAGGGTCTGTTAGAGCATCTGTACAGCTTAATAGTTGCTTTGAATTAATAGTTGTTTTAAAAAAATTACTCTTTCCTAATACATTTTTAATGTATGTATTTCAAATAATCCTGAAAAATTTATTTCAAATAATCTCACTACGTAGTTCAGGTCAGTCTTGAACTCATTGTGTAGCCTGGGCTGGCCTTGAACTTGTGGTGATCCTCAAGTATTTGTTTTTATTTATTTATTTCAAATAATGTATTTATTTCAAATAATCCTGAACACCTATGCCTCTAGAATAATCTTCAGGTAATAGATTAGAAAATAATTACCTGTTGATGGCTTATACATGTCATTAAATTCAGAGGCCAATTTATAAGGGATAGATATTTATTATGAAGGGCAAGACATTTTTGTATGAAATAGGCACTGATTCACTGAATTATATTGATGCATTATTGTAAGAGTCCAACTTGCTTTTCCTAAAATACCTACAAGTAGCAGCCACTACATAACAACATATGGCAGTGCAAATACTGATTTATCAAGACCTTAGAAATACACTGTGTAGATTTTATTTATGTCTGTCTGTCTGTGTGGATGTATGTGTTGATACTGGGAATCGAACTCAGGACCTCCTGCTTGCCAGGCAGGTGCTGTACCACTGAGCTCTATCCCCAGGCACAGATTTTAAGTATTCTGCATTTGTTGAGTTTAATGTGAATGTGCAGTTGGAAACAAAAATAATAATAATATATGTATTTGTCTGGTGCCACATTTTTTCAGTCACATACAATTTGCCCTAGTTGTTCTGTTTTGAATTAATTGAAGTTTTCTTGGATTCTTTTTTTTTTTTTTTTATTCTTCCTGTCTCCCCTCCCATTGCTTCACTGAACAAGTCAGTACATGGCTTAGTTTTTTAAAGTTATTGGCTGAAAAATAATGGGCGATGTGAGAAGTGACTAGCGTGACGGTTCTGTGTTCTCGGCTCCCTTGCTGATGTAGATCTCCACGGGAAGCCGCTTCCTCCTCTGGCTGTGAGACAGAGACCCAGTCGCGCCTCTCATGATGCGATCGCATAGCCGAGGTGCGGAGCGGCTCTCTGCGCGCAGCGAGCGGACGGACCTCTTTCTCAAGGGAGAGAAACCTTGATCCCTGATGCCGGGGGCCGGACTGCCAGTGATTTTTAGTGAGGAGATGCGTAGCCAAGGACCAGTCCTGATAATGACTTCTCCATGTTCTTCGTGGTTAAAGCAGAAAGGGAACAAAATGACTAATACATGGGATCAGCATTTGGACCAAGTTAGTGAGACTTAATGTTGACTTTTGGTTCATACATCCCCTTCCTGGGTGTATTCCTGAGGAAACCTGAGAACCGATGGACTCTGCATAGCCTCCTTTGGTAGTCTGCATTTCTAAGTTAAACATTTTTCAAAGTGCGTATGTATGAAACGGGAACATCTGGGAATTTATAACCTAGCTTTTTTTAAAAACTATTTTTGTATTTTTCTAAAACTTTTTAAAGAAATTAGTATTACGTTGTGCACTTTTCTATAAATGCTTTGTTTAAATTGTGTCTGGAAAAGTTGATATATTTGGTAGATATGAACTACCATAAACAAGAAATATTTTATGGCTCAAGGTATGTTTTGTAATAACATTATTCTTGAACTGTATATCCTAACTTGACCTTTAAAATAATGCCTTTTTAAAAAAACAGATTCTCTGATTTTTTTATTGTTTTATTTTTTTTTGAGCCAGGGTCTATGCAGTTCAGGCAGGGTGTGAGCTCACTTTGTAGCCCAGGCTGGTCTCAAACTTGGAACAATCCTCCTGTCTCAGCCTCCTGAGCACTGGGATTACAGGCATGTACTACCCAGCAGATTCTCTGGTCTTTATCCTACCAAATTATATGATTTGAAAATATCACCCAAGGAGAGAGTTCAAATTTGTTTTTGTTTTTTGTTTCCTTTGTTGATAACTATAAATTATCAGTAAAGAGTGTTGATGTACTTTTTTAACTTAAATCTTTAAAATTAATAAAAATATATTCATGAGATATTATTAAAATTTCCAGGAAACTCCTATTTTAAATGTCAGACACTTTCAGAGCTCAAGGTGCTTTGTTCTATTAGAAGCCACAGTGACTCTTACATTATTCTCATTTTTTCCATGCCTTGAAGTTTTTTTCTATAAGTACTGCGCGCTAACCGATTGCGCCACTGGAACTTCAAAGTGTTTTTTTAATATCAGGAATTGAACTCAGGACCTTATGCTTGCTAGGCAGATGCTTGTGCCTCTGAGCTATTGCCCCGGCCATGCCTTAAAGTTAAAGGCAAAACATATGGAACAATCTGCTGCAGGTCCAGACACTATGACAACAAATAGCTTTAGTACAAAAGCAATAAGGATAAAAATGTTGGCTCAACAACTTTTAAAAAGAAATGATTCCAAAATAATTTCTCGATTTAAAATGTATTTCTCTTACACTTAAGAATGACATATATAGGATTATTTATTTGTTATTTTGGCAAGCTACATATATTTTTAGTAAAGATTCATATCATTTACAGCAGGCCTTTATAACCAGATGAAAATCATATAACAAAATAATTTCTCAATCACTGTAAGATTGGTGGGTTTCAGGCTGGGTGTGGTGGCACACTTCTCTAATCCCAGCACTTGGGAGGCAGAAGCAGGAGGATCACTGCGAGTTCCAGGCCAATCTGGGCTACAAAGTGAGTTCAAGGCCAGCCTGAACTGCATAGCGGAAACCCTGTCTCAAAAAAAAAAAAAAAAAAAATAGATGCATTTGGTGCTGTATACAGACAGCAAGCATTTAACGTTATCTGAGGATAACATAGGTATGTCTAAGGTATTTAATATTACTTTTGAAATTTTACTTTAGAGCACCACATTTCATTTCACATTTTTAAGTGACTGAACTACTATTAATCAGGCTGCTTGTTACTATAGTCAGCATGGTAGTTTCTCAGAATTTGTACATGGACCTACCTGGCACACTCAGTGAGCAAAAAGCATCCAACATGAGATGCACAACAGATGACAATCCAAATTTGAGAAGGGGCTGAAATGTGAGGGAATGTATGACAGAAGATACACTGTAAATTCTGAATTGGAATTTAGAGGAATAATTGCTCATCTCTTTTGTTCCTTTTGTAACGTTTATGTTTATTAACTTTAAAAATGCTATTTAATATTCATCTGGTGTGAAAGTAAAGTTCTTAACATTTTTCTTTCCTATCCATGTTTACTGCAATGCACAGTAACTACTGATTCCATTTAATAAACACAAATAAAATAGTTTTGAAATTAAGTGTACTGTAAAATAGAATCAATGTTTTATATAGCTCTCTCAAAAATTAATTTGCTTTCATGAAGCATTCTAAAAATGCTTTTAAAAATGCTTTAAAAGACATTTTGTAAATCCAGGTGGATTTTAGTAATTAACTGCCTATTTTGATACATGCTACATTTATATATGCTGCATTTTTATTCTTAATTATCTTGAATTATAACATTTTACACAATAAAAATAATTTATATCAGTATACTGTTTTTCTTTTCATTCATTGGGTTTAAATGATTTTCTCTGAATAAAGATTTCTAATTTGACTTAAAGATGAATCAGTAGATTAAAATAATGAACTTGTTATTTTCATGAAAAAAATTTCATATGATTATACACATATGTAACTGAGAAATGTGATTTTTAAAGGCAGCTAAATATAGCATTATAGCACCTTACTCTAGTTGGCTTAGTGTCTGTCTTTTGTTAAAGTACTGGCCAACATGTATATTTTTACTTATTTAAAAGATAATTCTAAGAGCTTCTATTGGAAAATTCATATGTATCAACTATATATAATATTGCTGTAATTGATAACAAGTGTCAAACTATGCATAGAAACACTAGAAGGAAATGTTGCAAAATGTTGATAGTGTTCTTTTTAGAGTTATATTGGTTCTGTGTTTTATTCAACTTTTGAATTATTTTTGTAATTTGGTGTATTTTTAGAACAGGAAAATCAAATTTCTGATTTTATATAAATTATTTAAGCACAGTGTTTTCCTTAATCCAGACTTTGGCTCTTTTATGTGCTAAATGAAAATCTCTAATTTACTTAATAAGTAAAACACCCTGTCAGTACTCAGGAAAAGTTCACCCATAAAGACACTGTATTTGCAGCTTGTTTTTCACTGTTACTATGATATTTTGATGTGACACTGTTTGATATGCCATGCTCCTCATAGTATTTAATTTCTCCTTTTGCAAGTAAACAAATTAATGCTTTCAGGTGCCAAAGCTTTTCAAAATGAAATTGCTTATATAAATACAGCTGTAGGTTATAAATTGGATTGTCTTTGGCTGTAATGTCTAAGTTCTTCTGTAAGAGGAATATATTTTGTGGCTGAGGTTCTCCTAATACTGATTAATTTTATCAAGAAACGTTATAGCTGATGCATAGAACAAATTCAGGTATTTCACATCTTACACTTACGTGTGGCATAGATCATCAAAATAACAGTAATTCTTTAGTTTTGCAGAACCAAATAATAGAATCTAGGGTTTTTTTTGTTTTTAGACAAAACTAGGAAATCAGAATCTTCTCTGAAGAAGAGCCTCAACTTATAATTAAAGAGAAAATAGGGAAGAAACAATCATTTGGTTGTTTAGGGTATGAACTATAAATTCCTTTTAGGTACTGTTGAAGAAGCAGTATTTTTGACCCAGGTAAGTGAATGAGTACACTCCAAATTTTTATAATAATATATCAGTAAGAAATTTTAACACACATTTTTACCTCATTATATTAGTTTTCTAGGGATGCCATAACTAATTCCACACATTGGGTGGTTTAGAACATAAACTTATTTTCTCTGTTCCAGAGGATGGAGATCCAAGATCAAGGTGCCACATGTTTAATTTTTCCTGAAGCCTCTCAATTTGGACTTACAGATGGCTGCCAATTTACCATGCCCTTGCCCCTGGTGTTGCTCATTGTGCCCAATATTCTACTTTTTATAATCTTAGTGGATTAGTGCTTAACCTTCACTGTCTCACTTAACCTAGTCACCTCTTCAAAGCCTGTACCTACAAATACACATTCTGACATGCTGGGGATTAAGGCTTCAACATACAAATTTGGAAGCAACAAATTCCATACTTTAACTTTCTTTTAACTGGTGATACTTGCATCAGGGATACCTTCTGTACCTGTTATATGTTAAACTACATATATTTTACCCCCTAAGTAAGGAAATTAAAACTATTAAACTAAATAAAATGGAAGTATTATACTTAGTTCCCCATTGCAGTGGATTGTCTACTGGAGTTTGTACTCATCACGTGGATCCCTAAACTAATAAATTAAGCACTTCACCTGAAATGAAAGTCCAATCTTGCCTAAAACTTTTTTCTCTGTTCCTATCAGTGGACAGACGTTTCTCTTATGTTTTTCTACCAATTTTAAGGAGCTGAGGGATCTCTGAAATTTGATTATTTTACTACAGAGCCTGTCCTCAACTTTTTTGGGAGCAAAATAAGCCTCCGTCTAAATGTGCAGGGGTTTGAGGTGTGTTGTATGTAAATATGGAACAGCTAGTACAGGACATGGTCCATAAAGTGCACTCATTCAGAAACACCCCTTCGGTGAACTGATTTCACCCCAGAGATGCTTAGTTAGATGAAACTTTTTTTTTTTTTTTTTTGCCTAGAGATGTCCTCATCAATAATGCTAATCGATTCTGTAACATTCAGTCAGTAATACCCATTTAATCTTTTTACTCGTGAATACCATATTGTCTTCTGCACCAAATTTAAATTCTAGTAAGTTTCATTTTTAGATTACTGGGAAACTTGTTTGAATGTATGAAGCTTTAAATTTCATTAGTGATAAACCCACTTAACTTTTCATGCGGTTAATACACTCGCAACCTTGTTATACCCATGGATCCAGTCTGAGCATCAAGGCCCATTCAAAAGGGATGATACTGGTATCAGGGACGACGCTCAGCGTATCGGTAAGTCACTGATGGCGGCTACAAGGGAGCAACTAAACACTAACAGAGCAAGTGAACCGCTCTTAGCAGAATGGATGTGACACATTATTCTGAGGACCTTTAAAACCGGCTTTTGTAGAAGACGGAAAGCTGGCTATCGGGTCATTTCAGTCTCTGGTGTGGAAGCGAGATGATAAAATCTTGACACAACAGCAGGGAACGGATCCGTGCACCTTACCTGTGTATCTCCATGTAATCTTTTAAACATTTCCCATTTTTAGGAGAGATTATCCCCGTGCCTCATCCTAGGAAACAGAAACCAAAAAGTTTTTTTTTCACTGCATTTGAAAAGTTGCCGGGTCGACAGATTTGATAGATTCACTTGCCGCGCCTCTGAGCCTAGAACTAGGACAAGACAGCCTGGCAGAGACAGCCCACCTCTCCTCGAACCCATGCACACAGTCAGTGCAGCACGCTGAGTTTCGTAGCTTCTAAAGCCCATGCGCCCACAGTGTGCGCCGCGGGCTCCGACCTGGCCCCCGAGGGTCTGTGCCCGACAGGCCCCTGGTCCCGACCTACAAACACCTACCTCCCCCGGCCATGCACAGGGAAACTCCGCGTGTGCCTCTCGCGAGATTTAGGCTTGTGGCGAGATTTTGAGACTGAAGGGAAACAATCTCGCGAGAACTTCAACAGGACAGTGAGGATGTGCGCGAAGGTGGGCCAGTGCCGGAAATCTACTTGTTCTTTGTGTGGGCGGACGGCTTTCGATGCTAAGTGGTGTAGAACTGTTGTGCAGAAGCTCGCGGAGGATAATGCTGACTCGGGTGAGGCCCTAGGGTCCGGCCGGGCGCCTCCGAACCAGTTCGCTGCGCGGTCGGAGGGCGAGGGAGGCCGGGGAGGAGAGGGCGTTTTTGGCTCCGCTGGCCCGAGTCCGGCGTTACACCGCGCGCCCGCCGCCCTGCCTTTGAGGCCCCTGTGACCCCGCGCTCCTGTGTCGCCCGGTGATTGGCTCCCTCGACGCAGCGCCGACTCGGCGCGCGGGATCCTTCCGCGGCCCCGCTGAGACCTTTTCCGGGCCCGGGACGCTTGTCTTGAACCAATCAATGAACCAGTGGCGAGGAGTTAAAGAAGAAACGAGGGCGGCACTTCTTTGTAAATAAACTTTAAAAAAGAATCTGGAATACTTTCAGATTTACAGCAAATTTGCCAGGATAGTCGAGTTCCCGTGTGCCTTTCACGAAGTTCGCCCTAATAGTCACTTCGACCCTGGATATTGAAAAAGGAGCTGTTTTATGACAGTTTCTTAGTGTTCGTTTCTGTCTTAATCTTTGCTTCATGGTATTGACAGAGTAACTTTTTGCATAGTGTCACTAATACAGTTTTGTTACAAGTAGTGTATTGATCTCATTGCAAAAACGTAATTCTTTTAAAAGTTGTTAAACAGTAGACTGTGCTAATGTTAATTTCAATAAATTTGTACTATCAGTGTGTGTCAGCATATATTTCTTACCATCGTAGCTGAAAGCAAAATCGGAAGGCAAGCTTGCAAAGCAGATTTGCAGAGTTGTGTTGGAGCACTTTGACAAGGAGTATTCCAGAGAACTTGGAGGTTCCTGGAGCACAGTAAGGTTAGTATGATGCTCTCTCGGTTCTGTGAGCTGAGACAGTGGACACGGTGAGGGTGAAAGGTGCAGGAATTGAAATGTGGCGCCCACTCCCTCAGGGCCTATGGGAAGGAGGAAGTAAAAGGAAATGGCAGGGGGAGAAGTAAATTTTGTGCGGATATTAAGCAAAAGTTATTGTACCTTTGTTGTGAGCAGTTGCTTTCATCTATGAGACAGGCTTGTGCAAATGGACAAAAGTAATTATACTGTCCTATAAAAATCTTAAAAATTTGGGGGATAGTTTATTAGTTCCTAAAATTAAAAAACGAATACAAGTCTGTAAAGCCGACTTGTTTATTTATGCTGTTATACTTCAGTAATTATATTCCTTCCATGTTATGTCTGTGGTTGGCTATATTTTGAACAAATACCTGCAGGTACATAAATTCTTTGAATGTATTATAAAAATGAAAGTTTAGTACATAAAGCAAATGAGAGAAACTTGGTATGTTTGGTGAGTTTTGCTGTTAACCATCATTGCTATATGGACTTTTGACATTGAGTGCTTGATACAGTAGTGATATACAGTGCCCCTTGGGTACTTAGAGCAAGACAGTCCTCATTGTCTAGTTGGCAAGTAGTCTAGTGTTCATAGGGATTTAAGCAAAAGGATATGGTGTAAACTATGTAAAGTGATACAGTTTACTCAGTATTATGATAGAGATAGGCAGGAGTATCTTGTTATGTCTGTCAAAGTCAGAAGATGCAAGTGAAGTTCTGAGGAAAAGCCAGGTCTTGGTGACTTATAAAAATTACCTGGGTGAGAAGAAACATATCCTAGCCTGAGGGAAGGGTGCCCTGCTGGGGAAATTAGTGACAGCAGCCCAATATGTCTTCCACAGGCCCCCAAAATAGTTCAGTGGGTACAGATAATGTCTGGAACTTGTTTCAGGCAGTAATTTCTCAGATGGTTGTCTTTTTCCTTCTCTCCTGTTAATAAGTATTTCTCCTTCAAAAAGGACAGTTCTGAGCATTGTTAAAGGTTAAGTCTTGGCTAATAAAGATAATAAAGTGTTCTGATGTAGATATAGGACAGATGAGGCTATTTAGGAAACTCAAATACTATATGAAAATGTGTCCAGCCCTTATTTCAGAACAGTTTCAAAATGGGTATCTTGTGTCACAGAGCATGAGTAGTGAAGTGTATAATAAATTAATGAGCTTTTAAGTAGATAAAGATACTTAGAATATCCAGATATCTTATATGCTTATCATTTGCCAGACAATACTGATTTAGGGGATTCCCCAGACCAAACCTAAGAGATTTGCTTCTAAGTTTTCACCTGAGGATACTACATGCAGTTTAAGTAACTTGCCTGAGTTCATTCAGATGGTAAGCTGCAAAGCTGGGCCTTGTGCCTGGGCTCTCTGATTCAGTACCTTCCAGCTAATCCTTTTATATATTGCTGCTCATACCTGAGATGGAATTAGGCAAATGTGGATTTCAAAGATTTCATCTACAGATTTTATAGTGATCTGGCTATCCATACCCTGTAATGAATTATTTTTCTATTTAGTATGCTAAGTCAGACTTACAAAATTATTATTTGACCCTAAACGAAATGAGCAGTGAACCTCAACTCCATTTAATTAGCAGTGCTTTCTGCTTCATCTACCTTTTGGTTGGATTTTCATGGTAATTTGAGTTTTGCATAAACATGTGCTAAGTTTGCCATAAGCAAAATAAAAGCGTTTTTGGAAAATAGTGAACATGGAAAATAGCAGAGGGAAATGAGGGCAGAATTACATACTTTTGTTCCATAACTATTTATTTTCTTGACATAACATTGTGTTTGGAGTCTACTTTCAGGGGAAATTGGGTTACCCCTCCCCTCATCTATAATTTACTCAGTAATTTTAGTTTCCTATAGTAATGGGAAAAGATTTAGAATTTTTTCTTTCATTTTCCTATTTTATAATGGTCTTTCTTGCTGAGTCACCTGAGAATCCCTTAGAAGTTAAAATTCGTGTGGTTCCGTCATTGCTGTGCTTGTTACCTACGTGTTCTCTGAGTCCATGCACGGCATAACTTTAGTGTTTCATCATGCTGTCATCTCAACTGCAATCTTTCCCCCGATTAAGTCCCATACTTGTGTGTTGTCAGGCCACTACACTGAATTTTCATATTCAGCAAGCTCAAAAGCATATTAATATTTTTCTCTTCCACACTTATGCTGTCTTTGCTACTTGCATATTTTATCTCAGCTGAAGACAGAACTGTCAGCATGGTTATATCTTTTATTTCCTCCATACCTTGACTACTTTTGTTGTAAAGATTGAATCTTAGCCAAAATTAAGTCCGACATCTGCTCTCAGCTCCTAGGAGGTGATCACTGAGTCCTTGAAATGTACTAGATAAGAGTGTCTGTTTTACCTGGAGTCTTACGCCACACCTAGTAACAATGTGATTTATGCTGACCTGGGCCTAGCAACTACAGGTACCAGCTCAGCCTCCAGAGGGGCTGATAGTGTGTGTGGGGGGCAGTCACATATATCCTCGTGACTGCTCCTCAATAAAAAGTGGACACTGTGGCTTTGGTGAGCATCTTTGCCAGTACTCCTGTGCATACGGGCACGTTATTGGCGGGAAAAGCTAGTCCCTGCTCACAGTGGAGAGGACAACTGGCAGCTCCATGCTTTGAATTTTGTGATCTCAGCAGATCTTTTTTCTAAGACTGATTTTAATCTGTGTGCTTTTGTTGAAGGAAACCATACCATATTGGTGAGTTTTAACACCTTTCCATGAGTTTTGTGTATCCTTTTAGTGAGTAATCAAATTTGACAGTGCTCTTGTGATCCTTGAAATTGTAGTTGGTGTCAGAAGTGAGAGTAGTCTTGGTTTCTCCCTAACTATATACAGTACTACTTGCCGTATACCGCTACTCTTCCTTTATCAGAATCTGAAATAGCTATCAAAGGCTGTTGCTTCTAATTGAGAAATTTCTTATTTTGAACATCCTTTCTAACTCCACTGCTACTACTTAGGGCTTCTTCATCTCTTATCTGGCATATTTCAATAGCCATAGTCTCCCATTTCTGGTATGTATATTGGTTTGCTTATTCTAATCAGCTTTTTTATGGAACTTTGTGCTTGCAGTATTCTCATTATAGAAATCACAGTTATCCTCTGTGCAACTTCCTACGGTAGAGTTATGTCCACGCACAGATAGGCAGCTGAAGCACGCAGGGTCAGCCGATTTTCGGACACACAGCTCCCTGAGTGCGGCTTAGGAGTCTGGTGCTCTCTCTGTCCTGTTGCTTCTCAGTGCCTCCGTATTCAGTTGTGTTCATCCGTCTTTGCTCCCTCACTGTCTGTGGTAATTACATTTGAACCAAAGGTCATATTGTGACGAAGGAGATCCCTTCATGGTTGTGTATATGCTGTTCCCTCAGCTAGGAGTGCTGTTCTTCCTTCTTTGCACAGTGGTCATCCGTGTGGATTCAGATCCATCTCAGCATCTTGGAGCTTATGAACTAGATAAGTTATTGAATATCTCTCCTCACTGACCTCTTATGTAAAATGGGAAAAAACATGTTCGAGAAGGTGAAATGAATATATATACATGCATGTACACAAAATGAATATTGACATGTAGTAAACTCTCAATATAAACATTTTTGTTATATTATTAATCATCAAACTTTCCCACTTGTGTTTGTTTCCATTACATTTTGTTTATACAGCTGTTATAATTCCAAGATTTTATTGTTATAATTTACTAATTCTAGCATTTCTTTCCTGACAAAGAAGAACCTTAGTACTTGGACAAGTCATTCATTTATTCACAATTTAAGCAAAGTTTATGTCCTGTGCATTGTGCTGTGCACTGAGGATACAAAGGGAAATTATATGGCTCCTGTCCTCAAACATACGTGAGGGAGGATTAACTGGAAATCCGTCTGAATATACATGAGGGAGGATTAACTGGAAATCCGTCTGAACTGCAGAAGTTTTACGCGCATTTCACTAAAAACAAATGAAGAAACGAATAACAAAATATATAAGTCTGATCTCACTGACCCAGAGTTCACGTCCAGAAAGGAAACTTCCATAACTATTAGTAAACACTGTAGTATTACTTGAATTTGAAAAGGGGAGTGAAGTGGGATGGTTAGGGGAGAGAGAAATTAGCTAGTGTTTAGATCTCTCTTTTATCACATATGTTGGCTTACATACATTTTCTACATTAATCTGTGCAGAGCCCTGAAATTTTTAGCCCCTTTTAAAGTCAAGCATCGGCAGGTGTCTCACAGTTATGACAACTTGTGTCTTTTTTTTTTTTTTTTGGTATGGGGAATCAAACTCGGGACCTCGATCTTGCCAGACGGGTGCTTGTGCTGCTGAGCTATATCCCCAGCCCTCACAGTTATGACAAGCCAGACCTGTGACTTAAAACTACATGCCTTTGGAGCTGGGGATTTAGCTCAGTGGCACAGCGCCTGCCTGGCAAGTGCAAGGTTGTGAGTTCGATTCCCAGTACAGGGAAAAACCAAAAAAAAAAAAAAAAACCAAAAAAAATCTACGTGCCTTTTTTTCTGCCATTTGTGCTGCTGTGAAGGATCTGGGCTTATAGTCTTGCTCGTGTATGCATCGTTCCCTAATTTGAAGCAGTCCTTTCATTCTTTATTTTTAGTTTTTTGTTTTCACCAGAAATACAGATTCTCAGGACTTCAATCTGAGGTACCATTCATAACATATGTAAAGTGCTCCAAATGAGAGATAAGGAAGAAACACTGTCAAGAAAAGAAACTGTCAAAACGTAGGATGCTATCAGCTCATGAGAATCTCTGAAGAATAGAAATAAAATGGCAAAGTATGGAAGTCATGCTTTGATGCATTTCCACGAATTGATTTATTCTCCAAGCAAGATTTAAAATGTGGAATGACCACCTGCTAGTGGATGATAATAGTATTAAAATGAGGAATTTTACTTTTCTAAACATGGAAATTTAAATTCTTTCATTATATATCACTTGTGCTTAGCAATTTCTAGATAAAATAGTTTTTGTCTTCATTATATAGAAAAGTTAAATCGAGAATAGGAGGAGAAAACAATGTCACAGAAAAGTGAAGTGAAAAATCATATTATCAGTGTCCAAATTAGCAATTTTTCAAAGCTTTACTAAAACTTAATTAAATTTGGGTACAAGAAATTGAGCTCAGGACCTCATGCTTGTCAGGCGGGTGCTGCACCACTGAGCTAAATCCCTGGCAAAAATTTGAATTTAAATTTTTAAAAATAGTAACAGGTGGGCTTCAGTGACGCTCCGTGGTGAACCACAGGTTGGAATGTGTCAGGCCCTATGTTCAATTTCTAGCACTGCCCCCCATCAATAAACAAGTAATAGTAAATCAAGAGGTTCATAAATAAAAGTAATCAGATTAATTTATTCACAGACCTAGTCCCCAGCACTTAGTTGAAGACACAGAAAATTAACCTATGGTCCCTACGTAAGGCATTTGGGGATGAACAGGCAGAGTGACTTGTGCTGATGCATTAGTAGCTTCAGTGACTTTCTCAAAGCTTGGTCACACCTGTGCACCGTCTGTTCATTTTCACTTAATAGTTGTCTTATAGTAAATTTACTTAATATTTTCTTTTGTTTCTTAGAAATTTAAACATAAGCTAATTTTATATCATCAATATATTGATGTGCTTAGCATGAAGTTGATGTGACTTTTTTTGAGAGAGGGTCTCACTGCATAGCCTTGAATTTACTGTGTAGCCCAGGCTGGCCTTGAACTCGCTGTGATCCACCCGGCTCAGCCTCCAGAGTGCTGGAGTTACGGCATGCGCTACCACACCTGGCTTTGATGTGACCTTTAATCATCAGTAAATAGATATACCAGGTGTATAGTTGTTGCATAGTGTATAGTTAGAGAATGAGTGTCTGTTAGCATATTGGAGGTTAGGGTACTACAGGAGGCTTTTTGAGGGGTGTGCCGGCACAGGCTATTTACAGCACTCTGTCCAAGTTTTCAGCTGCCATGTGTGCCATTGCCTTTGCCTTGGAACTTACTTTTTCACTTTTCCTGGTTAGCACATTCCGTATTAGGTGATATAAAACAAGTATAGTGTTCTAACATGACAGTCCCAGTAAGTAACATGCCTCAAAGGAAGTATACAGTATTAGTGACCTTGACTTGGAGAGCTGAGAGAAAATTATGACTAAATGAAGAAATACTGTTCTCAGCGTTGTAAGACTCAATTACAATAAAGATGTTAATTCTCTCCAGGTTTAGTACATTTAATATAATCTTAATGAAGTGTATTATATGTATACACAATTACTTTATAAATTATTTTTTAGTGACCAATTGATTCTGAAAATCACTTGAAAGAATGAATACCCAAAAATAGGTTTGAATGTTCAGAAAGAAAAAGAATAGTGAGTAAATTGCCCTATCTGATATTAACCAGCTGAAAGTATCCTACCCTTTGTTAGCTAAGAGGTGGGTACATGAAGCCTACTCCAGTCTGTATAAATTATGTTTCTGACCACTTCTTTTTTTTTTTGTTTTTTTTTCTCCGGTACCGGGAACCGAACTCACGACCTTGCGCTTGCCAGGCAGGCGCTTTGCCCCTGAGCTAAATCCCCAGCCCCTCTGACCACTTCTTAAACATGACTCACAGTGTAGTATAAGTTTTCATCCAGCTTCTGGGATAAAATTAAGATGTACTTTCAAAAGATGTGTAACAGTGGCATTCACAGATTTCTCTTCAGGGGTCTATTTTCAAGCAATACTCACCCAAGTGTGGTCCTGGAGATCAGCAGCGTCTGTTTCACCCCACATGCACATTAAAGTTTGGAAATCACTTTCTTAAAGTAGGCACCCTCTGAAATAGCTGAAGCAGATATGCCGGGATCCTGTGATGCACCATCTCATCCATGGCAAAAGGCAGTGAAAAGAGAAAGTAGTTCCACATATTACCCGAAATTGAAATTTGCATGGTGTGCTTGAGTCGCAGGTGTTAGATTTCATTCCAGCCATTCCTCATATTGGCAGCTCCAGGGTGAGTAGCAGCTGGAATTTATTTAATTGACTATGGTTAATGAAGCTCCCAAATAACTCAGCCAGAAAGGTCAGCTAGTAAATAAATTAAATATTTCTTGCTGTATCATCTGTCAGTTGATGTGAGTTTGTGATTGTCAAGAGATCTAATTGGACCAAATACAAACATAGGAAGGTAAAGCTGTTGGGTGGAAAGCCTGCCGCCTCAGTGCATAAGTGATTTTTAAATCATCCTTGGATCTGAATCATCTGAGCCGCTCATCAGCTCATTAACTTCATTACTGTAGAGTCTGCTGGAGTTAGCTCGTCATGCCTTTTTTCTGCACCAGAGGAAAACTAATACTCATCCCTTCAAACATTTTGATGATAATAGTTTTCCCACCAGTATTAATATTCTTGTGTCTAACCAAAACAGTTTCTTGTGCAAACAGGGCTAGACAAAAATATAGTTTCATAGATGTACAATTGTGTGAACGCCAGGACTTTTGACATGATAAGAATCTATAGGGAAGATTTAAGGCTGAGGCAAGTGGAACATAACTCTCTGATTCAGAGTTTAAAGAAAAAAGAACAGTAATTATAATACAATTTTAATGATTTAAATTAAGTTTAAAAAGCCACAATGAATAATATCTAATTTTTAAATACAGACAGGCTTCTAACAGAACAGGGTCAAGGCATTTGAGGGCCTCAGGAAGCAAAAGGAGATGTCACAAAGACTGATCCTGTCTTTGGAAATCAGGAGTAAGTAGAGTGCAAACGTAGGACACCTGGTATATCTATTTGCTGGTGATTAAAGGTCACGTCAAAGCCAGGTGTGAACGTAGGACTCCGTCCCAACCTCATTAATAATATAAAATGGAATTGAAGCCTTTAATATTAATATTCACTTTTTTTCCATTTTCAGGGATGTACTAACATCTCCATCATTGTGGCAGTATGCTGTCCTCCTCAACCGATTCAATTACCCTTATGAACTGGAAAAGGATTTACATTTGAAGGGCTATCAGAGACTTTTTCAAGGGTCTTTACCCTACTATCCTAAATCAATGAAATGTTACCTCAGCAGAACTCCAGACCGAATGCCTTCAGAAAGACATCAAACTGGAAATCTGAAAAAATACTATCTTCTGAACGCTGCTTCTCTTCTTCCAGTACTGGCTCTAGAATTAAGGGATGGAGAGAAGGTTTTGGATCTGTGTGCTGCTCCTGGAGGCAAATCAGTGGCACTGTTGCAGTGTGCATGGCCAGGTAGTGTGCTTTTCTTTCAATAATTAACAGCCTTTTAATACCTCTGTGTTAAAAATACTTTTAAAGTACGTAGGGAGAAATGGAAGATTGAGTTTGAAAACTAATTTATTTCTTTCCTGGAGAACATTTGCCGTTGAAATAGAGTGTAAAAATTATGAGAAATGAGAATCCAATTATACATGGCATTGATACAAATATATCAGTTGACTGTATATTGAAGAGAAAATACACTGTACTGATATTCTACAGTTCTGTAAGCTAGTCACTGAAGCTTGTGGTAGTTTGGTGTAAGACATTACAAAACATCAAGATTGTTTCTTAAGGTTTCTTACAGTTTTTATAATTTAGCTGAAGTGCTATAGAATTGTATCAAAAGGAGTATTTGTTTTTATTTCAACTCTTTTTGTGTTCTTTGACAATATTCACATATTCACATTCTTACAAGGCATACAATATATAAACTCATTACTTCTAGGCACATAATGTTTAGTATTGTAAAAACGAAAGGGAAGTTTCAAACTTGATTTCCGTTTTGGAGAAAGTGCATTTTAACCTTAAATTACCTTTATTAGCAGGTATAAATATTTTACACATTTGTAGAATAAGGGAATTGATTTAAGAACCCCAAAACAAACTGATCTGTTCTGTGAGTTTGAAGTGGGGAAAAATCTTCCTATTTTTATGCCAAGGGCAGTGAACCTCAGGCAGTGTGCCAAATAAAGTAGATTTTCATCTAAGTAGGATTAATGATAATGGTTTTCTAAGATGTACAGATGTCTTCATGCTCATGCTTAAAACCCAAATTAGGTTAGCTACAGTGCTGGAGTTTGGATTTTAGCAGCAATGCTAATGAACGCTTCTATAAGCAAAACTTAAAATGGTGGCTGTGCTGAGTGTGCAATTTATGCAGCACATTTCTGTAGATTAGTACTGGCCATTATTTTGGGCAAGGAGGCTCACAGATTTGAATGATTAAAAAGCTCATGTTTTCCTTTTATTTTGGCCCAGTTGTTAGCGTGATGGACTGACCACTGTTTTTTCTTAGCACAGCTTTGTAGTATCCTGCCCTTAACAGAAAAAGGCAAACAACTATGAATGTAAATAGGAAAACATTAGCATACTAAGATTGATTGAGTAGCCTGGTCACCTGTCTTGTTGAAGGCTGTCACCTCCTGGAGTATTCACTGTTTCTGTTAGTTCACTAGGACCAAGTACTCAACACGCATAGCTTAAAAGAGGAAAGGTTTATTTGGCACATTGTTTCCGAGTTCAGTCAATGGGTTAGTAGGCTCCGAGCAGGGGCATCATTGGCAGAAGAGCATGGCACAGCAGAGCTGCTTAGTTCGTGGTGGGGGGAAGCAGAGCAGGGAAACAGCTCTAGACAGAAATGGGCCAGTGACTGTCCAAGGTCACATCTCCATGACCTGCTCAGACATACCTGGAGGTGTGCTTTTCTACTCCCCTTGCGAGCTCCCAAACCTGTCAAGATGATACGATCAGTTACCAACTGTCAGTGACACCCTTCTGCCATCTAGTTACCCTTGGTGATGAAATTGGTAAGACCCCTTTCTGTATTGAATGGCTTTTGCCTTTGTTTCTGTTCCTTCTGTCTCTAGGTCTTTTTGCACACTCTGCCACTTTCCCTTCTTCCCTGAGCCCTTGCTTCCTTCAGTTTTTACCTCAGGAATCTCCTTCCCCAGTAGGATTTTCTCGAACTCTCTATTTTTCATCTTCTTTGTATAATAATGAAAATAATGGCCATTTTAGAACAAGGTCCCATGGACTGTATTAATCACACTGTGTAAATCTATACTTTTAAAATATGGTTCAGTCTCTGCTTCTAAAGTGGTATCTTCATACAAAAATCTAAAGTCTTGGGACTTAGAAGAACATAGTGTGATGTCTGTCTATGTATGTATGTATGTATGTATGTATGTATCTATTACCTATTCCTCTATCTACCTTACTGTCACAATGCTGTGAGTTGGTGATCATTAACCCCATTTTATAGATGAAACCGAGTCAAAGAGAAGTTAACTAAATTGTCCAAGGTAAGGGACAGAGCCGGGATCTGAAGACATTTTCACTGTTGTATTGATGACTCGCTTCCAGTCTCCTGTTGATGCTCTACTGCTGACTTGCATGTGAGCAGAGGGACAGTCTGTAACAAGGGCTCTGTAAACCAGAACCTGTAAGGGGTTGAACGCTCAGATGTATTTTAATTTAATGTCAACTAAACTTTAGCAAATCCATAGTGATCATTTGTGAATTTGTGACTCTGCTTCTGGCTACCTCAAAGAGCCCTACCACTAGCCCTCACAGCGCTTTTAGTACAGAGGACAATATTGCTGCTCCACTTTTTACACTGAGAGGGTTCTAAACATAATCATAATTAGATGCATGGCACCAAAAATAATTGGAAGAACTTGAAATGAGGCAAGATTTGTTTTTTCTTGAATTTTATGCACTAAAATAAATGAGTGAAACTATTTCATTTCCTTTACATGAGCCAGGCTGCCATGTACATATGCTAAAGGCTTAGTGTCTTTTTCAGGAATATGTTAAGTTTACCCTTTTCCCTGCCTAAATTGAATGTTGACATAATTGAAATTAATTGTCTCTGTTATTGTATATGAGATGTGAGTGATAATTGTGGCGAATGTTTAAATTAAAAAAATTGTTACAGTACAAGATACATGGTCATTAATCACTCCCAGAATACTCCCTCTCACTTCAAACACACTCATCCCATTGTTCTTGACACTTTCTGAAGCAGTTCTGGAAGTCCTCTTTGGTGAGTGTGATTAATTGTGCTTTTATGACTGTCTTAGTGTTCTGAATGAATTTAAAACATTTACCTTTTAATGGTCATTTTCACTTTGGGAAAGAGCCAAAAGTTGCCCGATGCCTGATCTGGTAAATGGTGTGGATGCGTACACACTGGAATGTTTGTATGAGCCTGCCTGCCCATTGGACATCACTCAGCAGTAGCATTCCCCGTAATTTCATCACACTCATGGAGATGTTCACAGAAGACTTCCAGAACTTCTTCAGATGGTTGTAAGAAGGCTGGGTTAAGTGTGTTCAAAGTGAGGCTGGAGTATTTTGAGAGAAATTAATGGCAATGTGTCTTTTACTATAATAAAATTTTTAATTTAAACATTCACTGTATATTCAGATCACATATCATATATGTATGAAACTCCATGTATTACATATCTGATTTCTCTTCAGATTGCATAAATCTTTTGCCTTTTACCATATATTGCATATTTTTTTTTTTTTTTTCTGTCTTTTTGAGACAGGGTCTTCCTGTGCAGTTCAGGCTGGCCTTGAGCTCACTTTGTAGCCCAGGCTGGTCTCGAACTCACAGTGATCCTCCTGCCTTAGCCTCCTAAGTGCTGGGATTACAGGTGTGCACCACCACACCTGGCAAATGCATAATTTTAAAAGTTAACCTAAGATCATTTCAAATAAAATCCATATGTATGTAAAGTAATGATACATCATAAAACTATAGTTTACCTGGGAGCTATTTTAAAATGCTGAATTGAGAATCTTGACTAAAGGTATTGTTTAATAATAGCTTGATTTTCACTTGTAGTGATTTAAGTATTCTTTACTATAATGCCATTTTTCAAATTAGGTCAGCCACATCTTATGTGCACATACTGTTTGTAAAGCATTGGATGGCAGAGTATAGAAGTTGTCTTGGTTGCTTTTCTCTCGTTGCTAAGACAAAATACCCAACTCCCAAAATGAAGGAGAAAATGAAAGATTTATTTAGCTTACAGTTTGTGGAGGTTTCAGTCCAAAGAGGCTGGTTCCAAGGCAGAGTGGCACATGGCACAGGGCAACTGTTTATGTGTTAGTAATTTATCAGTAATTTTTACTTGTAGTTCATCAAGGAAATAGGCCTATAATTTTGCTGTGTTCTTGTCCTGTTTGCATGTCAAGGCAATTTTTATTATGTATAGTTGAGAATTTCCTCTTTAATATTTGGAAGAATTTTAAAAAATTGGTACTAGTTCTTTAAGATTTTTGGTAGAATTCATCAGTGACATTATGTGGTCCTGGGCTTTTTCTTTAATAGGAGATTTTTTTATTACTTCTCAATGCTGTTACTCATTAGAGCTCTGTTCAGGTTTTCAGTTATTTCAGGATTCAATCTGGTGAGGCTATATTCAATCTGTATCCAGGATTGCCTTTATTTCTTCGCATTTATCAAGCTGTTTGTAAAAATCTGTAATGATCCTTTGCAGTTTTCGTGTCTCTCTTTTCATCTCTGATTTTCTGAATCTTCTCTTTTTCCTAGTTCGTATACCTTTTGGTCAATTTTGTTCATGTTTTTGAAGGACCAGCTCTTCATTTTATTGACAGTTGGCGTATTTTAAAGTCCATTTCATTTATTTTTGCTTAGATTTATTGTTTTTATTCTGTGTTCTAATCTTTTTTTTTTTTTGGTTCTTCTCCGGTACCGGGAACCGAACTCACGACCTTGCGCTTGCCAGGCAGGCACTTTGCCGCTGAGCTAAATCCCCAGCCCCTTTTGTTCTAATCTTGAGTTGGTTTTATTCTTATTTTTTCTACTTCCTTGAGGTAGTTATTTGAGATTTTTTCTGATTTTTCATATAGGTATCCATTGCTATAAATGTCTGTGTTAGTACTACTTTTGCTGTGTCTCATAGCATTGGTATATTGCATTTTCATTTTTACTTTTCTCAAAAAACTTTTAAGTTCATTCTTTATTTCTTTCTTTACCTATTACTATTCAAGTATAAATTGTATAGTTTCCATGTATTTGTTAATTTCCAAAGATGGTGGTGTTCACTTCTGGTTTTATTACACTGTGGTCAGAAAAGATACTCAGTATAATACCAATTTTTAAAAACTTTGTTGAGACTTGTTTTGTGGGCTACTTCATGGTCGGTCCTGAAAAATGCTTGGTGCGCTATGGAAAACAGTATATATTTGGGACAGTATTTTACAGTGTCTGATAG